CATGCTTGGTAAAGTAGAGGGTCAGTGAAAAAGAGGAAGACCCTCAGTGAGATGGACTGACACAGTGGCTGCAACAATGGGCTCAAGCATAGCAAGGATTGTGAGGATGGTGCAGGATCAGGCAGTGTTTTGTTCTGTTGTAAGCATGGTCACTATCATTCAGAACTGACAGGAGCTAAAAACAACAACAGCAACCTCCCTACCAAAGTGTTAACTTCATTTTGTCTGTTTTGTTAGCTGAATAAATTCGTATTTAATGAAATAAATGAACCATATACATTTATTTTTGTGTCCCCACTCAGTTTTTAACGACCGCACAATTCCATCAGGGGATGAACCATTCATCATGTTCTTCACCATTCCCTACTCTTAGACATGTAGGTTGTTTACATTTTCTTCTCTTAATAAATGCTGCTGCACTGGAAATGCATTCAGTTTATTAGGACGGGGGCTATGGATGCCAAGGATACTTTCTATCAATATCTGCAAACCACCCACACTGGCCTCCTCAGACCATCACCACTCTCAGCCTGACCTTGACCTGAGTTATTAATGTGTTGAGCACCGGGCTCACATCTTCTTTTCCACTTGCCACCAATTCCATTGTTAGCAATACTATGACCCGGTCATAATTCAGACCTCTCCATTTCATGGTTTGGCAACTCCATTCCTCCATCTCATTAAATAATAAAACTTCAGTCTTGAAGCATCAAAGCCACACACTGGACTTACAAGGCACTACCAGGACCTGTTTCAAATTCTTTACCTTTAATATCTTCCCCTGCAAGTGCCCCTGACCTGGCTCTCTGGGCTTCTCAGAGGCCTCCTGGTTCCCAGTCTCAGGGCTTTGAAACTCTGTTGAGGCCAAGAATTACTGTGAGTAGTCCCTAATTCATACATACATCAAGCATTAGCTGTATGCTGAATGAATAAAATCTCTCTCCCATATATGTTCTTCTCCATTTAAAAATATATGTTGATGTTATTATGCATGATAAAATACAAATTCATTTAACCATTACGTTGGAGCTTGAACAAAACAGACAAAACGAAGTTAATCCATGCATTTTAAAGAAACACAGAGGTCCTCAAAATATTTTGATAGTAAAATGGGTCCTCACACTAAAGAACGCTGAGAACCATGGCTCAAGGTCCAGCCAGTCACAAGTGACTCAGACCCAGCCCTGTTAGCTGGGTTCTAAGTCCCTCATCTCCTAAAGAGTACAGTGAACCTTGTCCTTGTGATTTCACCCAAAAGGTGATACAGTAATCTGCATATCTGCTAAATCACAAATCTGAATCATGAGCACTGGGAGGCTGATAAATGGGGTCACCAATGGGCTAGTCACTTATCTCCAAGGCTGGTTTCCTCATCCATAAAGTAGAGATAACAATATTACTACCAAACACCACAAGTACTCAGGGCAGTGATTCAGAATCTGCACACCATAAATATTAACTAATGATTTTACCATTGTTGTTATTATTCCTGGAGCCCCGGTGGTGTGGTGGTTAAGAGCTATGACAGCTGCTAACCAAAAAGTCTATAGTTTCAATCCACCAGCTGCTTCTTGGAAACCCTGTCGGGCAGTTCTACTCTGTCCTACGTGGTCGTTATGAGTTGGAATTGACTCGACAGCAATGGGTTTTTTTTTTTTCTTTTAATGATTATTCCTTGTCCCTATATCTGGTCAGTTGCCAGATTCCTCTTCATTCCCACCACCATACTTTATCCCCTGATTAATTCATTCCTTGAGAATCTGGTTCTTCTTACAAAAGGTCATCAGATTACAATTTCTAAAAATTCACATTTAAAGCATGACACCTCCATTCAAAGGCCTTCAAGATTCTTAACTAAATAAAGGTCCCACTTCCCAACCTAGTATTCCAGCCTCCAGATGTGACCATTGTATATCTTCCTACTCTTCTATCTAATGCTGTATCTCAGTGGCACGATATATTTTATTTTCTAATATTTAAAAGCAGTTGGCACTTTCCCACTTCCTCACTTTTGTTCAACTCATTTCCTTCACCTGTAATGCCTTCCTATTCTCACTCATGCCAGTCAAATTACTTGAGACCCCACTCAGATGTCACCTGCTTAAGAAAGTCTCTCTGGATCCCTACAGAGGAATTCCTTCCACCTTCCACCGATCATCTATGACACTTTCAAATTACCTGTGCCACTCACTGTACAGTTGTTGTTGTTAGCTGCTGCCAAGGCAGCCCCTGACTCATGGTGAGCCCATCCATGCACAATGGGATGAAGCCATTGTGATCCATAGGGTTTCCATTGGCTGATATTTGAAGGTAGATCACCAGGCCTTTCTTCCTAGTCTGTCTTAGTCTGGAAGCTCCACTGAAACCTATCCAGCATCATAGCAACAGGCAAGCCTCCATTGACAGATGGGTGGTGACTGAAAATGAGGTGCATTGGCCAGGAATCAAACCTGCATCTCCTGCATGGAAGGTGAGAATTCTACCACTGAACCACCACTGCCCCATATAGTTATTAGGTATGTTTTATTCTCACTGCTGTAGTGTAAGATCTTGGAGAGTAGGATCTTGTATACCACTCACTGCTTTGCACAGAGCTGGCTCTCAATAACATATATAGCATGAAAACTGCGAACACAAAGGCAATCCAGAAACACACTCACTATGCCCACACAGCAGACAATGCAGCAAAATCTAAAGCCTACGGAGGTTTTGCTGCTTTACACATCACTTACCAACGTTAGGTCTAACGAGTCCCTGCTTGGATTCACTGGAATGGCGAAAGAGTTTCAAGTGGGGTTTGAAACCATGGATTAAATTCTGGTGACTTCTACAGTGATTAAAGTAACCTGGAGGAAGTTGAGAGGTTTTTTTCCCCCTCCAAAGAAATACATATATATACATATATATCAAGTTTTCTAAACTGGAAAGCAAATTTGATCTTTTTGAAAACTAGACAAGGCTATAAAATCAGTCAAAAATTCTGTGTAACAGAAAATTGCAGGGCTTTAAAACAGATTTGAAAAGAATAATAAATTTACAGGATGTAGACTCTTTGATGATATAAGTCAGATGTATTTCTGAATGGCAAGGTAAATGAAATTTCTTCTAAGAAAAGTTTATAAAGTATATCTAATACTTCTCTTTTTCCTTTTAGGCTTGGCGTAGGAGCCCTTAGTCATTCTACCATCATCAGAAGCATGAATTGTGGTTGTCGTGACTACTTTGCGTGAATAAAACAATAAATCTGTTCTAAAAGGAAGCAATGAAGCCATAAAATGGCATGGTGCTGAGTAGGATGATAGAGATAACTTTCACCATTGCTCATTATATTCCATTATAGAAAGACATATTTTTTTAACAACAAGTGTATACTGTCTGGCTACAGAGGAACACAGTGTAGTTAGAATAATTTAAAGCAGAGATCATGACTTACTGGAGGTGCTGTCAGTGCTACTGATGCTGTCCATACTTTGCAGGTGATGCCTGTGGAGCTGCCTGTAGAGGCTGAATTTGGAGAACTTCCTTGGCTTTCCTATGCCTTTCATTTTTGAATCCACATTATCAACACTCTTCAAGATGGGCAGATTTTTATTTGATTCACTTTTATCTTTGAGGTATAAAGATACTGTAGACTCTGTTGTTTCAGCCTGAGGAAATTATTTACCAAAAAAAAAAAAAAAAAAAAGAAAGAAAAAACACTGCATAAGATATGCTGCAACGTGGCCCTTTAATTCAAGTAAGTCTGAGGGATAATGAATAAGGTTCTGAGGTCAGCAACAGGGCAATGGTGAGCTATTTAAACATTCCAGAAGGAACACAAGATGTTCCATTGTGGTTCCTCTTTCAGTAGGCCAATTTCTTAAAATTTCATTTCAATTAACCTTTTTTTCAAATACAATGACCTGAGTTACATTCAGTATTGAACTACTGAACTTCTTCCTCTGATGAACATTAAGTACGCAATGTTTCTTCTGTCAGTCATTTTCCCTGTTACCTATTCAATGAAGCGCTGTCTTCACAGAAAGGTCACCAACATTTCCAGCATTAAAATAAGATGGGGCCCATCAAAACTTTTAATAAGCATATAGATATTTTGGCAGCTCTTGATTTGAAAGATACTGTAAGACGTTATTAACCTCTCCCTGCTTTCAGATAGACTTCCCTCTAAATGACCCTGGTCTGACATAGCCTATTGTTATATGCCTTTAAATAGGAAGACTCCAAAAACATTGGCAACTACTTTAATAAGGCTGCACATTGTTATTTAACCTAAATCCTGACTGCCTCACGTTTTTGTTTATGAACTTTCTAAAAGTTATAAGTATAAAGAATCTAGATTAAAGAAAAATTTGACAATAGAGAAAAGGAAAAAAATACAGAATATCCCATCACACTAACCCACAGGTTCCAGTCCAGATTTACAGTACTAACTTGTAATTATGATTAATAGTAAGAGTTAACGTGAATGGACAAGGACGATATAAGCAAATTGACATGCTGTATAAGTCAATAGAAAATATTATTGGCTCCTTACATTTTAATTGTAGTAAACAAAACATAGAATTTTAATAGATACATAGAAAGAGGATCAAATTATTGACATACAGGCTCTAAAAAGGGAGAAAGATGTGGCAGTTTGCTTCCATAAAGATTTATAGCCTTGGAAACCCTATGGGGTCGCTATGAGTTGGAATCGACTTGATGGCAATGGGTTTAGGCTCTTTTATATATGTATATATATATATATATACATATATAAAAGAAAGGTTTTGAACTTTGGGGGGAAAGTTCATGCAAATGCTAAATTCAAGTAATAGTAAATCAAACTTTACTCCAGTATAAAAAAGTAGCCAATATGTACTCTAAAATAAAATGTATGAGTTACAGCAATAAAGTAAGAAAAAGAAATAAAGGGCATCCAATTTGGTAAGGAAGAAATAAAACTATCCCTATTTGCAGATGATATGATACTATACACATACAACCCAAAAAGAATCTGCAAGAAAACTACTGGAACTAATAGAAAGATTCAGCAGTGTAGCAGGATACAAGATAAACATACAAAAATCAGTTGGATTCCTATACACCAATAAAGAGAACTGTGAAAAGGAAATCAGGAAAGCAATACCATTTGTAATAGCCCCTAAAAAAATAAAATACTTAGGAATAAATCTAACCAGGGACATAAAAGGCCTACACAAAGAAAACTACAAAAAACTACTGCAAGAAAACACAAGAAACTTACCATGCTCATGGATAGGTAGACGAAACGTTGTGAAAATGTCTATTCTACCCAAAGCAATCTACAAATACAATGCAATCCAGATCCAAATACCGACAGCATTCTTTAATGAAATGGAAAAACTAATCATTAAGTTTACATGGAAAGGAAAGAGGCCCTGGATAAGCAAAGCATTATTAAAGAAGAACAAAGTAGGAGGCCTCGTGCTACCTGACCTCCAAAACTACTATACAGCCATGGTAGTCAAAACAGCCTGGTACTGGTACAACAACAGACATCTTGACCAATGGAACAGAATCAAGAACCCAGATGTAAATCCATCTACCTATGGCCACCTGATCTTTGACAAAGGCCCAAAGCCCATTAAATGGGGGAAAAGACAGTATTTTTAACAAATGGTCCTCCCCAAACTGGATATCCATATGTAAAAAAATGAAGCAGGACTGATACTTCACACCACACACAAAAACTAATTCAAAATGTATCAAAGACCTAAATATAAAATCAAAAACTATAAAGATCACGGAAGAAAAAACAGGGTCAACACTAGGGGCTCTAATATACAGCATAAATAGGATACAAACCATAATTAACAATACACAAACACCAGAAGATAAGCTAGATAACTGGGATCTTCTAAAAATTAAACACTTATGCTTACAAAAAGACGTCACCAAAAGAATAAGAAGAGAACCTACAGACTGGGGAAAAAAATCTGGCTATGACACGTCTGACGAAGGTCTAATCTCTAAAATCTATAGGAAAATAAAACACCTCTACAATAAAAAGACAAATGATCCAATTAAAAAATGGGCAAAGCATATGAACATTCAGGCAGCTGACAGACACATGAGGAAATGCTCTTGATCACTAGCCATTAACTCACTGTGGTTGATTATGACTCATAGCTACCCTATAGGACAGAGTAGAACTGCTCCATAGGGTTTCCAAGGAGCGGCTGGTGGATTTGAACTGTCGACCTTTTGCACAGCAGCCATAGCATGCCGTACTTCTTAACCACTGCGCCACCAGGGCCCCAAAGACAAATGCAAATCAAAACTACAATGAGATAACATCTCACCCCCACATTACTGGCACAAATCAAAAAGACAGAAAATAACAAATGTTGGAGAGGTTGCAGGGAGATTGGAACTCTTATGCACTGCTGGTGGGAATATAAAATGGTGCAACCACTTTGGAAAACGATACAGTGCTTCCTTAAAAAGCTAGAAATAGAAATACCACACAATCCAGCAATCCCACTCCTAGGAATATATCCTAGAGAAATAAGAGCCATCACATGAATAGACATATGCACACCCATGTTCATTGTAGCATTATTCAGAACAGCAAAAAGATGGAAACAACCTAAGTGCCCATCAACAGATGAATGGATAAACAAACTATGGTACATAAACAGAATGGAATACTATGCAACAAAAAAGAACAATGATGAATCTGCGAAACATCTCACAACATGGATGAATCTGGAAGGCATTATGCTGAGTGAAATAAGTCAATCACAAAGAACAAATACTGTATGAGACCACATTATAAAAACTCATGAAAAGGTTTATACACAAAAAGAAACAATCTTTGATGGTTATGAGGGAGAGGAGGGGTGGGGAGGGAAAAACACCAACTAGATAGTACATAAGTGGCAACTTTTGTGAAGAGTAAGACAGTACACAATACTGGGGAAATAAGCACAACTTAACCAGGGCAAAGTCATAGAAGCTTCACAGACACATCCAAACTCCCTGAGGGACCGAGTTACTGGGCTGAGGGCTGGGGACCATGGTCTCAGGGGACATCTAGCTCAATTGGCATAACACAATCTAAAAAAGAAAAAAATTAAAATAAAATAAAATGTATGAAAATCATACCACCATTGGTTGCAGAGCTAAGTGCTTTCAATGTAATAATTATGGTTATGAATTAGTAATGATCGCTTACATCCATCCTCACCCTAACCATCCATCAAAGTCTGATGACTAACCCGAGTCACTGGAGAAGCCACAATATCGTACCTTAGGGAATTGCTGCTTCAGGTTCATTTCACCATTGCTACTGTGTCTTTAAAATACTATTGGAATTACAAGCATTCCTGTAAACTGCCTTAACTTTTTTTTTCATAATAAGGCAGGAATAAATGATTAATATGATCATTTTGAGTGGTTTTTATATGCCCTGCACCAACCCAAGCCTTGCTATCATGACTTCATTTAACAGCTATGACCATCCTATAGCATTAGCTATAGCATTAGTCACTGGACACTTAATGATCTGCTAGGCTTTGCGTTAACAACTTTACAACTGTTTCCCCATTTTACAAGAGGAGAAGCCGAGGCTAACAGATGTTAAGTTACTTGTCCAAGGTCCCATGCTAGCCAGGTGGTGAGGCTGGTATTTGAAACCAGGTCTATCGGATATTTGACTCAATGTTATTTTCAGGGATATGCATCAATCAATCAGTTAACTGATGTCATGCTATTAATATCTGCTTATATACTTTATGTACATTTAATACAGTTCCATAAAGGTTTATCTTACAGTGAGGGACAGCAGGGATGGTCCCATAATGACATGCTTCACGCTGCCCACATCCGTGAGTCTGTGCTCATTGTCGTCCCACCTTCCATAGGCCAGGTCGATCCCACCCACAAAGGCTATTGACTGGTCGATGACGACAAGCTTCTCATGATGAGCCCACAGATACACGGTGGATGACACATGGTCTGGGTGCCTCATCACCTTGCGAGGAAAAAACAAACCACACATAATGGATATAAGTATATATTTTGGCAGCTCTTGATTTGAAAGAAACTTTGAGAAGTTATTAACCTCCTAACCTCCATTGATAAGAAAACTTAATGTAATAAATTATGCTAAATAGCCACTAAATGTTTGAGGGGTATTTTTTGTAGAATTCTTCTTTACAGAAAGGAGTGGAAAATGTCTTTTTTTAAACATAATCCATATGTTAGATGAAATAGGTCTATTTTTCTCCCCTGAAAAGCATTTCCTATAATTCAAATACCAGAACCAAAATGTGCTATGTATACACCAAAGAAAATCCCAAACTTCTAATTTGATTCTCAGTATGTAGCAGAGGAGACTCCTATTTACCTTTTAAGGGCCCCCTTATATGTCATATTTTGGGGAGCTGCCATTTAGCTTGAAGTTTTGCCTCACATCCCAATAAAAGTCAGCTCAATTTTGTAGCTGGTTCACTTTTCCTCCTATAAAAATTATGTTATATCTGGGATTATACAAAACTCTAACATTTTCTAACCAACATCTATCTCTGGCAATATTTTAAATAAGTATACTGATATTTTTGTGGCCATTAAGTTGAAATAGTAAGCATATGGATATAGGTATATATTTGAAAGAAACTTTGAGAAGTTATTAACCTCCTTCTTTCTAATAGAATTCCCCTAAATAACCCCAGTTTGACCTATTCTATGTTTATACGCCTTTAAGTAAAGAGATTCCAAAATATTTGGCAACTGCTTTTTTTATCTTTTTATTTATTTTTAATTTTTTTAATTGTGGTAAATATGTAGGTAACAAAACTTTGCCATTTCAACAGTTTTTACATGTACATTTCAGTGATATCAGTTATGTTCATCTTGTTTTTCAACCATCACCCTTAACCATTTCCAAATTTTTCCATCACCCTTAACAGAAGCTCAGTGTCCCCTAAGCATTGTGCTTCCTTTCCCTCTTCTTCTCCCCGACCCACCCCGATTAATCACTAAAAACTTTGGTCTCTATACACTTGCCTATTCTAGATATTTCATATAAGTGGGATCATACAATATTTGTTCTTTTGTGACTTATTTCACTCAGCACGTTTTCAAGGTTTATCCATGTTGTCGCATGCATCTGGACTTCACTTCTCTTTATGGCTGAATAATATTCCATTGTATGTGTGTCCCATGCTTTGTTGATCCATTTATCTACTGACAGATATTTAGGCTGTTTCCATCTTTTGGCTATTGTGAATAGTGCTGCAATGAATACTGGTATACAAGTGTCAGTTTGTGGTCCTGCTTTTAATTCTTTTGGGTATATACCTAAGAGGGGAACTGCTGTATCATATGGCAATTCTATGTTCAACTCTTGAGGAATCACCAAGCTGTCTTCCACAGCTGCTATACTATTGTACAATCCCACCAGCAATGGAAGAGGGCTTCAGCCATGACATTTAATAAGGCTTTGATTACTATTATTTCATCTAAATGTCAACTGTTGTACACTTTTATTTATGAATTTTTTAAAATAAAAACAGTGTATCTATATTAAGTAAAAAAATTAAAATAGAGAAAAGAAGAAAACATACAGAAAATCCCATCACTCTAATCAAATACCTTTATTAATTGTCTTGTATTTTCACCTTTTTACTTTTATGGTTATTTTTCTCTATTTAACATAGCTTTAAACATAGTATATGTGCTGCTAAATCTTGCTTTTCTTTTTAACATTATACTAAATGATTTTTTAATATGCTAGACTGAAATTTAAACATTTCTTATCTAATCAGGTACTTAAAGGACATATAAAACTGCTAATCACCATCTTTTTGTAAAGCTTCTACTTGTAGACAATCCTTAAATTGCCTGCAAGACCACTGGTTTCTAGGCTGAAAATCCGTAATTCCCTTAATTTTTCCTTAGAGATTCAAACTGTTCAATCTTTTGGTTGTTTTAATTCCTCACTTATTCTTTGCAAAGTTATATACATTCATTTATTCATTCACCAAAGAGTCAAATAAGTACCACTCTTAAAGTGGTACTTACTCTGTGTGGGGTGTGTCATATCAGAATCACAAAGATATCTGATGAAGCCTGAATAATCTGATCCCTTAATTGTATTTATCTTTGATCTTTTTTTATTTGTCTTTTGTACAGTAGTGAGCAGGATCGACCCTATATTTTCAGTTATTCATGAACAAATTCTAGTTGCTTTATGTTACTTAAACACAAAATCTTTTCATCCTGGCACAGTTCCTTGCGCTTAGTAGGTGCTTGATAAAAATTTGGTAAATAAATGAATAATGTTTAGAAATGATTCAACTCAAAAATTCAATTTTGGGGAGAAACAAACATTTTTATTTTATTTTTAACAAAGTGAAATATACTACTCTTATGTATTTTAAGCCTGCTGAAGATTTATCGATTGAGTCTCCAATCATCTCAATGACTGGGCAATATTTATTGATAGGTTTTAGGTCTTTGGTAAAGTATCAAAGAGTTTTCAAATTGCTTATCATTTTATTTACTTTATTAGTATTTTATACTAGATGCTATTAATAAGAGGAGTCCGGTTGATGCAAATGGTTTAGTGCTTGGCTATTAACTAAAAGCTTGGTGATTCAAATCCAACCAGAAGCAACTTGAAAGAAAGTCCTGGTGATCTACTTCTGAAAGATCACAGCTATTGAAAAACCTATGGAGCAGTTCTACTGTGACAACATGGGGTCACCATGAGTTGGAATAAGCTCAACGGCAACTGGTTTGGTTTTGGTTTTTACTAATAGTAAAAGCCCTTTGAAGCCTAGAGGATCTCTCTTTGTTGCACCAGTGTTCAGGGAATGTCACAGGAAGATCACATCTAACAGGTTCCAGGATAATCTTTTTATGAACATTTTATTGTGGTTTGGGTGAAAGGTTACAGAGCAAATTAGTTTTTCATTGAACAATTTAAACACATTTTGTTTCATGACTTTGGTTGCAATCCCCTCAATGTGACAGCACTCTAGCCACTTCCTAGGTTCCTTGTTTCCATTTGCCCATCTTTCCTGCCCCTTCCTGCCTTCTGAACTTTATTCTGGGGCAAATGCTGCCCTTTTGGTCTGGTGTGGTTGATTGTTCTGAAAAGAACATTCCTTATGGGTGTTACTCTTCAGTTTATATAGGCCTGTTTATTGTTTGGCTGAAAGGTGATCTCTGGGAGTGGCTCAGTTCCAGGTTTGAAGGGTGTCTAAGGGCCATTATCTGGGTGGTTCCACCAGTCTCTATCAGACCAGTAAGACTGGTCTCTTTTGTGAATTTGAATTTTGGTCTAGATTTTTCTCCTACTCTGTCCAGGAACCTTTACTGTGATCCTGCTCTGCGCAGTTGGTAGTGGTAGCCAGATACCATCTAGTTCTCCTGGCCTCAGGCTAGTGGAGGCTGTGGATTGTGTGGTCCATTAGTCCTTTGGCCTAATTGTTTCCTTGAAACCTTGATTTTCTTCACTCTTCTTTGCTCCGGACAGGAAGAGATCAATAGTTGTATCTTAGATGGCTGCTTACACGCTTTTAAGACCTCAGTTGCTATTCACCAAAGCAGGATGTAGAACACTGTCCGTATGGACTGTGTTATGCCAATTGACCTAGATGTCCCCTGAGACTATGGTCTTAAGCCATCAAGCCCAGTGACTCTGTCCCTTGAGGTGTTTGGTTATGACTAGGAAGTTTTCATAAGTGTGCCCCCTATGTGCTCTACTATATACATGGATACATTTGCAGCACATACAAATGGTATGTAGAAATATCATCTGCCAAACCTATATATGCTCGTGGGTGTGCAGAATAATCTTAATATAGAACATGAGAACAGGGCTCTTGAATAATAAAACAGCTCTAGGAAGCTTGTTCTTGGCGAAACTGTCACTTTCGATGATCAGGGCCAGAAAAGCAGAGATGTGAACTTGGCTGACCCCATCAACGTAGGGAGTATAAGAAAGTATAGCTTTTGTTTTATGACTGAGAATGGGTGCAAAGTTATTTATTCAAAATATACACTAGATTACCACTGCTTAGAGTAAAACATATAAACGTATCTGAAAAACTGTTACAGAATAATAAAGAAGAAACACTGTTCACTAAGATGAACCTGAATACCTTTATGTTGGGGTGTAGACTCATTAAAGTCCTCTTGCTGTATTCACTATTGATTCCAAGAGCAAGTCCCACCTCTTTGTAGAGCATTATGAAGATCCTCACACCCTGTTGCTGTCACAAAATAAAATGAAAAGACAAGTGAGTATCTCTTGGAAATAGATTTTCTTTTTCTTCTTCCTTTCTAATCCTTCTTCAGCAAACAAGTATAATAAAATATTTCATGAAAAAGGCAATACAAGGTGAAGACAGAAATAATAAAAGTAAAAACTTATCTCCCTCACATTCCTATCAACTTGTCACACTAAGCAAGAGTGTCAATATTTGACTAATCACAGATCCAGAATCTTGAAATTGTAACTTCAACTGCTGAAAGTATCTGATAGTCTTACATCATGTAACATTTCCAAATGCTTGTCATTGAGAAAAGTTTTAACCTGATTCATGTTACAGGATTAGGGGGTTTTTTTTTGGCTTGTTTATTTATATTTCAACTCAGCTGAAATAACAGTAATAAGAAACTTTGATGTAATAAAATTGAATCACACATTTAAGAAGACTTATTGGGTTGAAAACATCTAATTTATAAGAACTGGGTATTTTTGCAATGCTATGAAAATGTGAAATAGCTTGTAAGTTAATATTCTTAGCTTCTACATCACAGGATAGAAACTCTTGGGAGCAAACCAAACACATATGCAGTCCTGCAATATTGCTCTGCCAATGCTAAAAAGCACGTTTAGGTCCCTAAATTTCTATTAATAGCTCATCACTTCAAAATTCTAGTACTCTATCTCTCCTGACATAGGTGTTAGTAATACCTGAAAGGAGCCCCTAGGTGGTGTAAGTGGGTAAGCACTTGGCTGCTAACTGAAAGGTTGGAAGTTCAAGTCCACTCAGAGGCACCTTGGAAGAAAGGCCTGGTGACCTACTTTCAAAAAAATGAGCCATTGAAAACCCTATGGAACACAGTTCTACTCTGATGTAGACAGGGTTGTCATAAGTCGGAATTGACAACTTTTTTTTTTTAATATCTGAAAAGTATATGTTTTTTTGGAGGGGCATGCTAGATTTATGTTCTGGTTTGCATAAGGGGATTTGAGTAGAGGGAGAAGATCTATCCTTGCTCTAAAAAAAAAAAAAAGAATATCTATGTCATTCTACTTCTCTGGTTAACAGCTGGCCTTTGGAGCTCACTTACAAGTACGTAAGCACAGATTTAAGTAAAGAAATAAGGAAGTGAAAGTGCAGGCAAGAAGGGAGCAGATTAATTTCGAGGGGTCTGGCCATTGATTACTCGACAATAAGCCACTAACTGAGGGCTCAAAATGAAAACTAGAAAATTATTTTATTTTTCTCCTCTACTGTTCAGATCTATTTTGCTATTCAAATATTTTAGAATTCAGCACTCTATAGCAGTTAAAATAGCCTCCCATTGACAGATATAATACAAAGCTTAAAACCCCAAATTTCAATCTAAATTATAGAACATTACACCTGACATCTTTCATCATGGTTCATTCATTTTAAATGGATAAAATTCTGCTTCTTAGGCTTAATACATTATTACTCATGAAGGGCAGTAGTTGGGAATTAGGAACTTGGCTTAAATCCTATAGTTTCCCATTTACCTGCATAACTAATGGATTTTTGAAATAATAGAGATGTTAACACCAATGGATTGCATTATTACTCTCCATCTATTAATACCTAACATTTTCTTACATACTAGGCCTTTTCTCATTGAAGTAAATTAACTCTAAAGGAAATAGAGTAGAGACTTTTAAGACCAATCATGAAATATAATACAAAAAGTTCATTTTTAAGTGGCCTGGTTTACAATGATTTACCTATATCTGGATGCATAATAAATAGTTAAGTAGTGACAAGATCTATGTGATAATAAAGTAATAAACTCTTCTACTTTTGGTCAAGGTATTATGACGCTATCATAAACTATAAAGGGTAAAGGAAAAAATTCCTTGGGAATGAAGGCATTTGACTGGGTCACAATAGTGCACACTTACACGAAACGTGGGAAATATTTGCGTAAGATGAAAGCCAAAGTTAAAAAACATATATAAAGGGCTGACGGTAATTCTGTAATTTAAGAAATACACTTTTTGAAACATCCAGGGTAATACCAATGCCTTCTGGTGACCCTTGGGGAAGTTACTTTTGCTTAGAGAGGGGGAACGAAAGTATGAATAAAGTGGAAGCGGGAAAACAGGTGATTCCAGGTTAATTACATGCCATGTTTCTCATTTCTGCTGTACTCAACTAACCTGAACGTGCCACAGAATAAACTTCATGAAAGTTGAGTTTTAAAACATAAGTTCTGTCCCCTTTCCTAATTAGCTTCTCATCAACTAGAACAGATCCAACACTATAAACAACGTGTACTTTTAGGGGCTTTATGTATATAAAATACATGTAAAGACAATGAAAAATAAAAATATTTCATAGTTGAAATCAAAGAGACTTGGTTCCTTAGCCAGCTTTTTCTCTGATTGTTCCAAGTACTATGGTCAAAACTTTTTCTAGGTGCAGCCAAGGTTAGTTCTAGATGCCTGAAGGTAGCTTGGTTTACCCCCAGGAAAATCACTAATCTTATCACTTGTCACAGACTTCTCCAGGACTTCTGCATTGTAGGAAAAGGAAAGGATAACAAGAAGTCCTAACCTCCGCATTTAAAAACAGGCAGCCTTGGGATTCGAGACCACAAATCTTCATGGGCCCCCACCTCCTCCGATCTTTTTTTTTTTTTTTAACCAGTTTTGTTTAAAGCATAGATCTTGAGGTGGAAGATACCTTCTCTCTTTCCCACCAAGCCCTTCTAGCCCACCATATTGATAAGATTCAATTTGATTTTCTGTGCACAGATGTGATTATTTGTCTCGCTTGGCAAACCTCAACCTCTTTCCTTTCTATTGGTCACTGACTGCAACACAAGAATATGCCTTCTGGTCCAAGACAAAGGAATTAGCCTGAAGACAACTCCTCCCCCGCCCCCCACCCTTTTTCTTAAAGTCTCCAGGTTGCTGTACTTGCATATTCCTTTAGTGTAAGTCTCATCAGAAATAGCACATATTTCTAAGGTTGAAATAAACAAAACCAAGGTGCAGGAATATAGTTACCATAACTATGATATAATTTAGTCCCTGGTGTTAAGCACTCGACTACTAACTGAAAGGTTGGCAGTTCCAACCCAGCTAGAGGTGCCTCAGAAGAAAGTCCTGGTGATCTGCTTCTAAAAGGTCACAGCCTTGGAAATCCCATGGAGCACAGTTCTGCTCTGCACACATGGGGTCGCTATGAGTCAGAATCTACTGCACAGCAACTGGTTTGGTTTTTTCTCGGTTTAAGTGTAGTAAAAGGTAGAACTACGGAAATCTTTGGGATGCTGATTTCTTTTATGTTTTAAAAATCTGCCTCTTAATATTAGTTTATACTATTTTAAATGATGCTATTGCATATCAGAAGGCCAAAGAAACAGGAAAATATCAACATGGTTATTACCAGAGAACAAACTATTGTATTTTTTCCCTAAGAAACAGCCATTATAAGAGGTGCTTGCCTATCTGTTGGCTATATGGCAGAGATGCTTTCTAAATTCCTCTCAAAAAACCTATGCAATCAGATAAAAGAAAAAATCCATTTTAATCAATCAACTGTACGGGCCTCTGAGACCCAGTAGTGCGAGAATAAATATTATTTTTCAACCCAGCACTTTGTGAAGTTACTTTGTGACTTTCAAAAACTAAATGATGTATGTGAAGTAGTGTTTTTGAGCATATAAAATTTTCATCTGGAATGATGTGAGTGTTAAAAATGTACGAACAAAATAATAACATGGTGTTTGATTAAGGAAGAATAATTCTGCTAAATGTATCAGTGACAAATTAATCTTTAATAGTATTATTATTTCCTCAGGAACTTTTAAAAATTATTATCCACAATTTAAATACTGCAAAATTCAGACAGTGGATGAAATGGAAACAAAGCCCTGTTATCAGGCAATAATATTTACTTAGCCATGGTGTTCACCAAGGACCTCCCCAGAGTTCATGGGGCATAAAGGCAAAGAGAAGCCACACTAGTGATATACAAGTCAACCCGACTGGCACACGAGGGCAACAGACAAACAGGTCCAGCCAACATGGTGATAGAGGGTCAGACCTGTAGGGCCTTCCTCCTGAGCCCTGTTTAGGCATTTACTAGCTTTCTGGCATTTTCTTATACGTCCTGTAGGCACCTCACACTCAAGTGATCTAAAATTTAGCTTTGTGAATGCGAGTCTCCCAACTTTCTCCCACTACCAGAGTCACCTTCCCAATATGGCATTTTGATCAAGTCACCCCTACTCCACTCCCCCCACACAAAGCCTCCACGTTCTAGTTCAACCTGCTGTTCCAGTTTGATCCTCAATCCTACATATGCTAACACTCAGTTGAGTGACCAGAGCCTTCTGCATTCCTGCCTTCAGAATGTTTCCTCACAACATTTCCTATCCTGAGAAATTTCTTCGTTCCCTTCAAAAATCTTTGCTCATCCTACATGCCCTAAATCTCTCATGTTGTGAGGGGCCTCCTGGATCATATCTGCCCAGTTCTTTCCCTCTTGCCTTTGAATCTTGGCACTGCCTCTGTACCTCTGTTGATACTTGTGTAGATTTTTAAACTCCTTCAGGCCAAGAATCATGTCTTTTATTTATGTACATCCTCATATAATTAGCAAGTACCCTGCACATAGTAGGGCATTCAACAAATACGTGGTGATTGAAACCTAAAATAGGGAAGTATTGGCTAAATACTATTGGAAGAGATTTACTAGTTGGTTGAAGATTGCTAGTCAAGCCTGGAAAAATTTACTAAAATGGAATCTTGAGGAGAAATGGGAACTGTACCATTTGACAGAGATAAACAGAGAAAGTTACAGCCCATTCAATAGGTAGAAAGGAGTTAGGTAAGGTTAGGACTGAGACCCAGGACATGAGGTCTTCATCAAGCCCTCCATGAGCATGGATGAAATCTTATTCACTGTGGCATCCTTCAGAGTCCCTGGGTGGTACAAACAGTTAAGTGAAAAGCCAGCAGTTGGAATCCACCCAGAAGCACCTTGGAAGAAAGCCCTGAAGATCTACTTCTGAAAGATCACAGCCATTGAAAACTCTAAGCAGCATAGTTCTACTCTGACACACATGGGGTTGCCATAAGTCGGAACTGACTTGATGGCAACTGGTTTGTTTTGTTTTGTTTTGGGGGGGGTGGCATCTTTAGTGAATGGTGCAACGCCCATTTGATAAGCGATACTCAGTAACTGTGTGTTGAATTACTTAATGAATGAATATATGAATAAGTGAAGAATGCCTTTGAGAATCAGAATTGCCACTTTGGTGAATGAAATTCTGTTGAGAAAATGAATTAGACCAACCACAAAAATGCTGCTGTTTGGCAGAACACGTATCTGATATAAAGATTATCAACTTCTTTTGCCTTCAATATGAGCAATGAGGTCTGACTATATCTATACATATCTTCAGAAATCCTAAAATAAAAGCATGAGGAAGAGACATCAAAGTGGGGAAGGGGGAAGTAAGTGGGAAGAGGGTTAGTAGAACATAGGGAATAAGAAAGGAGAAATGAGTGAAGGCTGCAAGAAATAGAAAAATGCTACCCACAATTGATTACTATCTACAAATTCTGCTAGAATGCTTAATGATAGAATAAAGGAAGATTAAGACAGTCTCAATAATAGTAAAGGGGTTAGTCCATTCCATCCCTGATTTTGGACATGATTAATAATACATCCAAAGTTATTATAATTTACTTAATTTCATTTGGTTAAGGACCTACTACATAAAAATAATTCATTAGAAGTAGTCCTCAGTGATCCTATCCTGCTTCAGTTATTTTTATAATAAAAAGGGCACACTCAACGCTCACCCAGAATCTACAGGGCCAAATACACAGGAAACAGTTCCACATTATTACCATGAACTGTCCCAAAATTGGAACCAAAGTACCAATTACTGAAGTTCCTGTTTGATATTCTTCCACATCAGCTTGCTCCGTCTCTCCAGATGACTCTGTCTTTTACTCAAATTACAAAATAATGAATAAAATGAAATGCTATATTTCATTGCATCATTTATTATTTAATGATGAAATTTTATTAAAAATTTTTTGCCTATAAAATTAACTGCCCATAACTGATTAAAAAACCAAAAATCAGAGTTTCTAACATAATCCATGCTATGAGTTTGGCTAAAATATTTATGTTGTCAAAATTAATTAAATGAACTGGAAAACAGTAAGTATTCCACTATTTATCAAGTGCTAAAGAAAAAAGTTATATGAAGGACTTCGAAAAAGAAAAGACATTTCAGGGAAAATAAACTTTATATCAGCGTTTGTTTGTAAAGTACGTACTGCTTTCCGCTTAAGAATGCAGTCCAACCTCCAGCGATTTCCTTCAACTACCGGGCGTTTCAGGAAAATTTCTGGACTCAACCTAAAATCATGAAACCAAGATTTCAAATAATTAAAACAAAATATAAAGTTCTGATTGTGACATAGGATGCAAAGGCAATATCAGCCCAAATGAAGACATGACCATCCTCTACTGTGGTGGGCCATCTAAAGTTTGCTATGAGTCTATATACAACTTCATATAGGAACAAGAATTTTTATCCATATAAAAAGTCAATATCAATTTGTCTCCTCACTCACACACACACACATAAACACACATGGACACTGTTGATTGCACACCCAACAGCCACTCTCAACCCTGACCTTCCTTGCTGTCAGAGTCTACTTCTCTTTATAGTGGATGAATATTCTAGGTACTTGTTTTTCCAGACTCCTATGCAGCTAGAGCATGATGTGACACAATCATGGACAATGAGATGTATGAGGAGATACAAGTGAGGGTAACTGGGAAAATTTTTCCTCCTTGATGAGAGAGAGAAACACACACAACAGGAGAAAGCCCAGCCTTCACTTCCAGCTTTGGGTTGGATATTGTATGGGGGTATGATGCTTGGAGAGCTGCAGCTATATTGAAACTCTAAGGGGAAGGCCCAGACCCCTGAAATCACTAAACCATTGCACCAACCCTAAGATAGCCCAACTCTGGACTTCCCATTAAATGACACAAATGAATCCTCATTGTTTAAGCCACCTTTAGTTGACTGTTCTGTTACTCTGAGCCAAAAGCATTCTAACTGATAAAAATACATATTGACTTCCTATACTAAGGAACAGTGTTCATGGGAACTTGGAGTTTTCTGAGAAAGCAGGAAGAAAGAAATGCCGATATATGAAATGTTGCCAACACAAGAACAGAATCCTGGACCTTTCCTCCACAGCACTGCCACAAGGCAGCTGAGAGTACAGAGCATCACTTCTTCCCCTTGGGTTGAGTTCTAAAGTCAGTGTCTGAGTTAATCTGCATGTGTTATATATAACTTTCCTGTAATGAGGAAAAATCAACAAATAACAAAACAAAACTCTATCAGGTGAAGTTCTAGATCTGAAGAGGCACGAGTAGACTGTGTAGGGTTTAAAGCCTTGTAACATTCTAGGCTAGAATACTGCCATGACAGAGACTCCACTAAACATGTGGAAACAATAGGATTTTAAGGAGCTAATGAGATTAAAAGAAATACTTTTTATGTTCTACTTCAGTCAGTTAAAGAAAATAAAAACCTACAGGTAAAGTGTATCTAGAAGAGACACATATTGAGTAAGATAGATAAGTAAACAGAGAAATAAAGGAGTGCGTACAGTATGCTGTTACTGTTAGGTGCTGTCGAGTCAATTTGGATTCATAGCGACCGTATGTGACAAAGTAAAACTGTCTCACAGGGTTTTCTAGGATGTAATCTTTACAGGAACAGATCACCAGGTTTTTCTCTAGCGGAGCCACTGGATGGGTTCAAACTGTCAGCCTTTCGGTTAGCAGCTGGGCGCTTAACTACTGGCTTAACCAGGGCTTCTTGATATAGTATAAATATTTGCATATTTAGAGTTGGAAATGGACTCAAAGGTAATCTATGCCCAAACAAAAAATGCAGCTACTAATAGGAAAAGTGTTAAGAATAATTAAAAAGATATTTAAGTATATAAGTGCAAAACTGTGCACTGCTAGTTCACTAAAACTGAGAAATCTCTAAAAACATATATATACTTGCAATATATATTTTTTAATGTATACATTAACTATGGGCTCAGACGGTGTTAGTTCTGACACCACTTTTAAAGCTATACTACAATTAAGTCTTTCTCGTCCTTTATTTTATCTAATACAGGAGCATTATGTACCCTGTATGCAGAACATTCTGCTAGGAACTTCAGAGGATATTAAAAAAGCACTCAAGGGGCCCTCAGTCTTGAGGATAATGCATAAACAGATAAAAGACAGAGATTCATGCTATAAAATAAGTATAAATAATGGTTGTATGGCAAAGAAAGAGATATAAGTCACCAAGCATATCTAAGCAATTATTAGATAAGTAAAGTTCAAAAGAATTGAAAAATACTACATTTCATTGCATCTAGGACATCAGTAATTGTAAGGTACATCATTAACTTATGCACCACTAGGAAAGAAAAAATGCCGATAATTATAATTTAAGATGTTATTGAGTGTAAGATGTATTCTGATTTCAGGGATGTTAAAATACAATTCTAAAAAAATGTACCTCTTAGAAAAGTTTATAGCTTTAACTGCTTATATGAAAGACAAAAAGTTTAAAATAATCCTGCAAGCAATACAACATCAAGATCGTAAGAAATAAGTAAAAAGTAAACCTTTGGATATAGGATGTACAATGATGTTAACGGAGACTCACCAACAGAAATGGAAGAAGAAAGAGCAAATTAGGAATAGGTTTAATATGTTAATGTCATATGTTATCTGTTGTTCATATGATAAATGTGCTAATTGCAAGTTGTATAATGTAATACGTGTAGTAACTACTAAGAAATCACCAAGAAAAAATACACAGAAGAAAAGAAGGAAGAAATCAAAAATGCTCATAACAAGAAAGAAGCCAAACACAAATAATGACAGAAAAATGAGAATAAAAACACAAAGAAGATATGAAATACTAAACAAACAAGTAGCAAAACGAATGAGGTAGACACTTCATTTTTGGTAATAATCTTAAATGTAAATGGTCTAAACTTCTCATGCAAAAGGTAGACAGAATGGATTAAAAAACAAAAAATGACCCACCCTTTTGCTGTCTACAAGAATTACACCTTAGACATAATGACACAGACTGAAAATGAAAGAATGGAAAAAATATTCTATGCAACCAGTAAACAAAAAACAGCAGGGTAACGAGACTCATAACAGTTAAATAGGCTTTAAATCAAAATCTATTATGAGAAATAAATAAGAAATTACATAATAATAAAAGGGTCAATCCAGCTTGAAGACATAACAATTATAAATATATATGCACCTAACAGCAATGCTCCAAAATACATAAAACAAATACTGACTAATATGAAAGGAGAAACAGACAACTCCACAATAATAGTTGGGGACTTCAACACACCACTTTCAATTCTAGACAGAACATCTAAAAAGAAAGTCACTAAGGACATTGAGGAAACCCTGCTGGTGTGGTGGTTAAGAGTTTGGCTGCTAACCAAAAGGTCACCAATTTGGATCTACCAGGTGCTCCTTGGAAACCCTGTGGGGCAGTTGGAAACCCTGTCCTATATGGTCTCTATGCGTTAGAATTCACTTGATGGAATGGGTGGGTAATGATACTGAGATCTTAAATAAAACCATAAGCCACTTTGACCTAATGGGCATATACAGACACTCCACTCATCATCAGAACAATACACATTTTTCTCCAGCACACATGGATAATATTCCAGAGTAGACCATATGCTAGGACACACAAGTGTCAATAAATTTAAAAAGATTGAAATCATACAAAGCATCTTCTCTGATCATAACAGTATGAAGCCAGAAATCAACAACAGAAAAAATAAGGAAAAAAAAAAAAATACAAGGAAACTAAGTAATACACTACTTAAAAAACCAGCAGGTCAAAGAAGAAACCAAAAGTGAAATTTAAAAAATTCTTAGAATGAAAACACAACATATCAAACCTTTGGGACACAGTAAAAGCAGTACTCAGAGGGAAATTCATAGCAATAAATGCCTACATTAAAAAAGAGGAAAGATCCAAAATCAAAAACTTAAACTGACAATTTGAACAAATAGAAAAGGAAGAGTAAAAGACGCCTAAAACTAGCAGAAAAAAAAAGGAAATAATAATGATAGGACAGAAATAAATGAAATGGAAAAACCCTAGAAAAAAATCAATAAAACCGGAAGTTGGTTCTTTTGAAAGGATCAATAAAATAGACAAACCACTGGCTAGACTGACAAAAGAAAAAAACAAAAACAAACAAACAAAAGAAAATGAGAACAGGCAAATAACCAAATTAAGAAATGAAACTCAGAGGATCATAACAGATTACTATGAAAAATTGTACTCCAACAAATTTGAAAACCTAGATGAAATGGACAAATTCCTAGAAACACACTACCTACCTAAACTAACATAAGGTAGAAAATCTAAACAGACTCATTACAAAAGAAGAGATTGAAGATGTCATCAAAAAACTGCCAAAAAAAAGTCCAGGACCAGATAGCTACAGTGGGGAATTCTACCAAACATTCAGAGGAGACGAAACCAATTCTACTCAAACTCTTTAAAAACATAGAAGAGGAAGGAAATTTCCTAATGCTTTCTATGAAACCTGCAAAACAGTGATGCCTAAACCAAGCAAAGACATCACAAAAAAAGAAAATTACAGACAAATATCCCTCACAAGCATAGATGCAAAAATTTGCAACAAGATTCTAGCCAACAGAATTAAAAAACATATAAAAAAAACATACATCATGATCAAACGGGATTCATACCAGGACTACAAGTGTGGTTCAACATTAGAGAATCAACCAGTGTAATCCACCACATATATAAAACAAAGGAAAAGAACCATACGATCATATCAAAGGATGCAGAAAAGGCATTTGATAAAATTCAACACCCTTTCCTGATAAAAAATCCTCAGCAAAATAGGAATAGAAGGGAAATTTCTCAACATAATTAAGGGCATATATGCACAACCAACAGCCAACATTATACTCAATGGACTAAGTCAGAAGATAACCAAAATGCTGGAGAAGAAACAAGTCCACAAGGCTGATAGCCTACACGAACCATGACCTTATCTACCCTGAGACCAGAAGAACTAGATGGTGCCCACCTACCACCACTGACTGTTCTGACCAGGGTCACAATAGATTATACAGGATAGAATGGGAGAAAAATGTAGAACAAAATACAAATTCTTAAAAATATCCATACTAACTGGACGAGTTGAGACCAGAGGACTCCCTGAGACTATCACCCTGAGATACTCTTTAAATCTTGAACTGAAACTTTCCCGAGATCTCCTTTTAGTGAAATAGCACAGTGGCACATAAAATAAAAGATATTACTTGTAAGATCAGTGCTCAACTAAAAAACCATCTGTATGAGACCAAAAAGTCAACATTTACTTTAAAGCAAAGATGAGAAGATAAGGGGGCAGGGAAACTAGAGTACTGGAAATGGAACAACCAGAACGCAGTTAAAGAGAATGTTGACACACTGTGGAAAATGTAACTGTTACTGAACAATTGTGCGTGGAAACTGTCAAATGGGAACCTAACTTGTTATGTAAACTTTCACCAAAAACACAATAAAATATTATTTAAAAGAGAGAGAGAGAGAAAAGCTGAGCTAAGCTACACTCTGCATCTGCCCAAGCTGCACAAAAATTTGCAATGGAGCTGGCAGCCATATCTCATTGCCTTAGCTCATTTTAGGACTGACCTCCAATGAACACTGGATAGTTAGCTCATGGGTGACATGAAACAGCACCACGCACAAAAAAGACCCAGAACAAGCACTCTGCTTGCTGATTGATCCAGATAAACAAGAAAGAATGCTCACTCACCTTGTTTAGAATCTACTTCTTTTCATGCCTTCAACATTTAGCTAGGATTTAGTCTTCACCTTAATTTCCAGGTAGCCTGGGTGCTACGGCTGCTAACCAAAAGGTTGGCATGTTCAAATCCACCAGGTGCTCCTTGGAAACTCTATGGGGCGGTTCTACTGTGTCCTATAGGGTCGCTATGAGTCAGAGTCTACTCGATGGCAGTGGGTTTGGTTTTGGGTTATTTAATGGGCTAATCACCATCTCTTCGACTTGACAGCCTACCTCAGAATTCACCTCTTCAGGAAATCTCTCCTGAGTAAATCTACCCAAATCTGATTACTACTTTATCCAGCACCTTCAAAAATTTCAATTTTCACTTAAAAGAATCTCAGTTAAAAGGGATCTTAGACATCATGCAGTGCACCTGACTGTCTGAGAGGCCGCTGTGTGATATGTGGGCTCTAGAGCAGACACACCTGGATCAAACCAGCACTGGAAGGTACTGACTCTGAGCTTGGGCGGTTCCCTAACCTGCGTCTTACTTTTCTCATTTATAACACAGTGCCTGGCATCTAGTAAGACTTCAGTAAATAGTAGCTGTTATTAGTTACTTCTACTATGCCCTAGAAACTACCCCATAGAAAAGTTAATGTGACTTACCCAAAGTTAGTAATAGTTGGGCAAGGGCTCCTAAGATGGTCTGAGTGGAAACCCTCACCATTTCTCTCTGGGACCACTGTGAAGCTTACTAGGGGTCTCTGTAACCCCTCTTCAATTTGTCTTATACACTGTTACCAGAATGGCACCTTTCAGAAAACAAATTTGATTAAAACTCCCATGCTTAAAAAATCTTCAGCGGTTCCCACTGTTCATTGCTCACAGGATTAAGTCGAGTCCTTAGCAGCTCACCCAATGCCCTTCACAACTTGGCCTAATCTATCTTTTGGTATCATCTCTATCCACATTCCTAATGGACCCTATGCTCAAGCCACATACAATCTCCGCTCTCCTCCAAAAACGCTGTGCTGTTTCACACCCCTATGCCTTGGTCCTGGCTACCCATCTGCCTAGAACACCCATTCCTTCTTTTCATTAGAGTCCACTCCATTATCCCGGAGCCATCCTGGCACTCTCTTCTGTGAAGCTTCTACCATGGCTGCAGGCTGTCCTTGCCTTTCCTCTGTGCCTTCTGTGTTGGTCCTCCCCACTGAGTTTTCCCCAAACCTTTGTTTTATGTCTAATTTTCTAACTCTATATTGTTTGAGAGTAGGGGCTGTTTCTCATTCATCTTTATACTCACATAGCCTAGCTAAGTACCTGACAGCCCGGTACCCACTGCCATCAAGTTGATTCTGACTCATAGTGACCCTATAAGACAGAGTAGAACTAATAGCTCTTGAATGAATAAGCAAAAAAATTAACACGTGAATGGATGGATGGATAAATGAATTAATGAACAAACAAAACTAAGTACTTCTAGGTCCCTAGGGCTCACTTTTGTTTCTCATTTCACAGTATGTGCCCTTGCTTGCATGCTAATTATTTTAGAAGCATATTACTACAGTTTTCATATAAGTATATGATGTCTTTTGAATTAAATTAGAAGCTTCTTAAGGACAAGTGCAACCCTAACTATGCTTTTTCACTCTCTCAGATCCAAATACATCATGGTTTTGTTACATTTCTGAATGTTCCCTTTTGCAATATACTGTGCATGATAAGGAATTTCTTCACATGTTATGAGGAAAGTGACAGCAAAGGCCGTATTTCAAAGGGTATGTTGTAATAAGATGTTATCCTAATGCAGTCATGAAAAAGAAATACACCCTGATTCATTCCCCTGCTGACAGTAGAAGAGAAAACATTCAGGTTCCATCTCTTTAGATGTTTAAAGGAAAGTCTGTGTTTTAGTGTTTAGAACCTTCAAAAGAGACATTATTTTCTTGCACAAAGCATAAAAATATGCACTCAGTGGAAACCTATTTTCAATCTCTCTCATATCTTTGCCAGAAATATTTTTAAAAAAGAACATAGTACTACATTGGGCTTGGATTTATTCTCATAAGTGTTTACAAAATATTTAACAGAGGAAAAAGCTTCTAAGAATGAAACTGACTGAAAAGACATATTTGGCAGAATTTTAAAGGTAGGGTAAGCTCCTCCACAAACATAACAATAAACAGGTTCATAGACTGTCAGTCACATATCTTATCTCTTGGCTTTAGATCAGTGAGTCTCAACCAGGGGAGATATTGCCCCCAAAGGACATTTGTCAACATCTGGAGACATTTCTGGTTGTTACAACTGGGATTGGCAAGTCTAGAGACATTTCTGGTTGTCACAACCAGGAGGTTGCTACCAAAACCTAATGGGTAGAGGTCCGGGATGCTGCTAAACATTCCACAATGCAAAGGACAGCACCCCGCAACAAAGAATCATCCAATCCAAATGTCAATAATGCCAAAGTTGAGAAATATTAAATTGTCCTAGAATTAGGTATTTCCATATCACTGAAGCAAAACAGTAGAAGAAAAGGGGTCCACATTCCTATTACTCTTCTCTCCCCTCAAAATCTAGAATTAGAAGAAAATAAGTTATGACGATATTTTCACAGTTCTCATATAAAGTATCATTTGGAAAAAAAATGGATAGAGAAAATAAGGGGCATTTTAGGCAACTGAATTCTTAGAAGGAAAACATATTTTAGACATTTTCATTTCCATTTTCCAATTCGGGCGTCTGTGGTGGATCTTAAATGTTCCGGCAGACGAGCAATTGAACTGAAGTCAGACTACAAAGCCTACACCAATCCCAGGAGTAAAATTCCCCAAGAGCTAAATGAGTTTTAGATGCAGACTTCCAGTGACCTTAATAAGCATCATAACTCTCACGAACTTCAAAAAGATCAGAAAGTTGAAACCTGGTATATTGTCAGAATAACTGACCAGGCCTAGTCATGCCAGAGGACATTTTAACAGTAGTAGGCAAACGAAACTATTTCAACACCAAACACACACAGTTCAGACGAAATATGTTCCCTGGACCTGGTAACAGACACACTGAAATGAGGAAAGGTGTCCAAAGGAGATTATTTTCCATAACTTTCTACAGCTACATTTGCCTTGCAGCATAATCTTTACTAAAATGAATATTTGGGTGTCTCCTTCCAAACGGAAAGACAAAAACAAAACCGTTCAAGCTGAATATTTTAAGAATATATTTGGATGCCAACTCTTTCGAAAAAGGCTTTGACTGGAGGCTATTACAGTTGATTGGTTGAGACTTCGCCCAAACCATCTGTGGGTACAGCCGGTTTTCATAACGCACAATTCTGGACAGCAGTACACTGTTGTAAATGTCTAAACGTAGAGATATCCAGACAAAATCCCCATGGACAAATACTAACCACCAATCTGTGATAAAAATCTCTTCTTTAGCCTCTTCCATTGCATTTGCCACATCTTCAAAATATCCTTTGGCGTTAACATACCTGAAAGATAAGGTTTACAAAAAAAACAAAAAAAAAAAAAAGGAAAGAAAATAAACATATCCCATGGCAAAGCAAAACATGGAAGTCCCCACAGCCTAGGGTCTGTATATAACCATCAGTTTACTTCACGTGATTGGCAAACAAGGATTGAAAATATCTCCTTCCGTCTGCTACCTAAGAAGGACAGTTAAGTAGACAAAAGTAAGGAACCTGCTTCTTCTTTCCTTAGAGCACAAATTGAACCTCATCATCATTGAGAGGCCAGATGAATTCTCCTATCCTGTTGAACTCACAAGAATCCCTGGTGGTGTGGTGTTTAAGTGCTCGGCTGCTAACCGAGAGATCGGTGGAATGAATTTACCAGCCACTCTGAAGGAGAAAGATGTGGCAATCTGCTTCTGTAAAGATTAAAAGAAAACAAAATCAAACCCGTTGCTGTTGAGTCAATTCCGACTCATAGTGACCCAACAGGACAAAGCAGAACTGCTCCACAGGGTTTCCAAGGAGCGGCTGGTAGTTTTGAACTGCCTTTGGTTAGCAGCTGAGCTCTTAACCACTGTGCTACCAGGGCTCCTATAGGTCGCTATGAGTTGGAATTGACTCGACAACCACAGGTCAAAGATTACAGCCTTGGAAACCCTATGGGGCAGTTCTACTAGTCCTATAGGGTCACTGTGAGTCAGAATTGACTCAATGGCAATAGGTTTGGCTTTTTTTTTGGTTGAACTCATACACCATTGTTCTTTTTAGACTTAATTAAAGCAGCCTAGCCTCGAATTCAGGGATAGAAAAACATGCTAAACCTGATTTTATTTAAAAGAAATATCTAGCAATTAAGTTCACTTTCCTAAATTATCGCTAATAATTTAAACAAACTTTCCACTTGCAAGAACAAGTGTGAGGTTAGAAAGCCACTGGCAGCTTTAAAAATAAGACTTCAAAATCTAAAGCTAGCTATCTAAAGCTCACTATGAAAAATCAGAAAAACAAAAATTGGAAAACGATTCAAAAATTGGGTAGTTCTATAACTGCCTCAAAAGGAGAGGCCCCTGTTGAGAATGTTTTCGCAACTTTGAAAATCGACTCCAGGTGAATTTAGATATATTAGATGTTATGACTATAATATCAGACTAAAACTGAAATATTAGATGTTATGACTACCTTGGCAGTCTCAGAGCAAAAGGATCTTACCATTTAGCTAGAGTGTTCTCTTGGATAGCAGCATATGACCCAAATCGATGATCTTTGAGAAAGTCGCTGCCGTGCTTCCGGATGAACTCTTCCATAGCCCCTCCCCACCATCGAGCCTGTCTATAGCTGTTGCATTTTAAAATAAGTGTCCTTCAAAGAAAAGAAAAATGTGGAAAAGAATGGTCACCCTGTACTCTATTTCTTAAAACAGATTTACAGATTAAACTTGCCATGTTTTGTTTTGTTTTTGCAGCAAACATAAATTGAAAAATTTAGGCCAATAGCATCTTACTTGATATCAAAAAAGTAGGCTTTTAATTTTTTTTTGGTATCTTTCTAAATATATTCAATATATATCAAAAATTAAATTTCAGATTGCTTATTCACTCATCCGCTTGTTCACCCATGCAAACATGCATTAGGTACTTATTGTAGACATAGAGCTGAGCTAGGCTGTAAGGAAGATAACAAAAGAGGTGTAAAGCAAGGTCCTACTTCTAAGAGTTGGGTAGAGAGTTGATGGCTCCTATAGAGGACATTTCCCTTTCTGCTTCCTGGTGTTCATTCCCTTGCCTTCTGGAAACACCATCCTAATTGTTCTTTAGGAGAGCACTCCTTCCCTATTCTGACCCACCAAAGCCAAGCAAAATGGCATATTCCATTCCCCTAATACCAGAGACTGGTTCAGGACTGAGTATGTGATCCAGTTCCACCCAATGAGTGAGACAATCCAATGACTAGCTCAGAAATGACAGGAAGTGTCTCTCTCCTTTACACCGAATTTGATGTGAGTGGTGGGAGCCAGCCATCTTGCTACCATGAAGGGACTATCCTGAGGACGGAGCAGATCCACAGAGGAAGGCAGAGCTGAGAAGCACAGGGAAAATGAGCCTCAATGATATAGTCTGAGCCTCAGAATCAGCCATCTTTGAAGCCGGTGCAATTGATTAATTCTGTTTCAGGTGTAGGTCAGTTTGCATTGGATTTTTCTGTCACTCATGACTAAACTATCCTAAACAGTTACAGATTTATAAGTGTTGAGAAAATTCAGAGAAGGAGATTACAGAAAGTTAGTAGATGCAAAGTGTCACAATCAGTAACTAACGCCAAGAGGTGAAAATATGTTACCATATTTGAAGTTCAGAGAAAAACAAGGTGTTGGAGTCAGCCGTCTATCTGCCATTTAGGCAGAAATCCACCCCTACTCCAATATAAACAGAAGACTGTGAGTGAGGAGGGAGAGATTGCTTTTGGGGGGAATGCAATGATCCTGATGAGAAGCAGGGAAGGGCTATGTTCACAGACCCTAGAATATTTATTTATAGAGATTGTTGTTATTGTTGGGTGCTGTTGAGTAGATTCTGACTCATAGTGACCCTATGTGACAGAGTAGAACTGCTCCATAGGGTTTTTCAGGCTGTAATCTCTATGGGAGCAGACTGCCAAGTCTTTTCTCCCACGGAGCTGCTGGGTGGGTTTGAACTGCCAACTTTCAGTTAGCAGATTAGGGGTGCCCAAATTGCTCACCTCAATAAATCAAAGATTGATGTCCGGCTCTTGTCTGAAAAGCCACTGAAACATCAGTGCCTGCTGCTGCTGGGATGTGGAGATAGGGAGGTAGAGACATGGTGGAGCTGAGAGGAGTGAAGCATCCTCAGTCAGGGGTGGAGGGAGACAGGAATTTCTGGCAGCAGGGGCCAGAGGGTGTGGGGGTGCCTGGGCTTGAGCCAGCCTGATGAAGCAAGTACTACTCCAAATGAGTTGAAATGCCTCTGACAACCAGTTATCAAAGATTTTGTGGAAGAGAGAAGTGATAAGGAGAGGTCTTGTCACAGGATGTGGATCAGATATAAGAAAAATAAAAACTATTCCAAACATGAAGACAGGAAGAGCAAAGTTAAAGAGGAAAGAAGAAATGTGTAAGAAGGGATGGTAAAAGAACTGCCTCCACAGAACCTGAGAGGCTGCTAGGGAGGGGTTGCAAATAAAGTCAGAGAGATAAAGGGCCTTCTATTATAAATGGAGGAATTGAGGGTTATTTGCTAGATGGTGGGAAGAGCTCATACCAGGGAGGAAGCTGAGGAGATGTGGCTTTGGATGGATTCATCTGGCAGTGCTGCACAGGGAATGAGGGTAGGAAATGGAATAAAGTGGCCAATAAAGTAACTGTTATAGGGACCAATGAGAATTATGGCCTGACTTCTGTCACCCTCCGGAAAACAGGACCGCAGCAGCAGGAGGAAAGTTTAATGGCTGAGTCATTGCATTTCCAGTGACTAATCCTGAACCTTCCATTGTCAGAGAGGATCAGGAATTTCATCATCTTCTGATACACACACACACATGCAAACATGTATATATAGTAAGGACTGGCATAGCTGCACTTATGAAAATACCTCATGGGAGGAGGGTGCAGTTGGCAAAAAAAATGTAGAAGGCGTGTTATTTGTGTAAAAATACAGTGTATATATATATATATATACTCTTCCATTAAACACATATATATGTGCGTGTGGGTAGAAAAATATATATATATATATATATATAAATATATGTATATGTATGCATGTGTGTGTGTGTGTGTGTGTGTGTTCATATACATGAGGCTGAATGACATAGAGAGCAATGTATATGTGGAGACAGAGAGACACACATGGTATAACTACAGTCTCCCAGAAAGAAACCATGTCTATAAATATACACACACACTAATAAAATTTATACTAAATGTACACTTGAGAATCCTTTCAAAGTATCTTTCTTAAACTTACTGTATAAACAGAAGTTTTATAAATAAAATCACTTGTTTAATTAAAGGATATCAATTTATAAAGTTAAAATTTTATCTTATTTTTTTTTTTTAAATGGGAACTATCATCCCTTAATTTATCTGTTTGGTGAATTGGTATCATTGAATGGTAAATTTTGTTAAAATGGGCATATATCTACACATGGAATAATTTTTTTTTTCTGGTTTCTGTTTCACATAGGATAGCCTGTCCTTAAAAATATACAGAAGGAAAAATTATTTTCATTACTTTCAATTGAGGAGGAGTTCTAAATAACAATTTGTGACATCTAAATTATTTTACCTACATCACCTAAAGTTGAAAGAAAATGTTAATGCTTTTAAGAGATTTTAGTAGAAATCTTTAAAAAACATTTGAAATTTCTACCTTGAGAGATTATCAATTCGGAGTCCATATTTAGTCTCTGTCTCCTTCTTCCCCACCTTAATTTTGAATTCTTTATCAACCAGCAGGACGAAGGCAATAGCACCATTGTCTGGTTTCATATACAGTAAAAAAGAATCTTTCACTATTAACCACCTGTAAGAGAGTAATATGTATGTTTAAGTTGTATTGAATTGCTGAAACAAAAAGAACAAATTATTATGACAATTCTTAAGTAAACATTCTAGCAGACTGTAGACATAATTTTTAACATGGGAGGTTTGGTTTTAAAAATTACTGTGAAAAGGGAAACAAACAAAAAAACCCTTCCTCTTTTGTTTTTCTAAGAAGTGTTAGCACCAAAGAACTTGAAAGAATTCATTATCTCTTTAAACACTGTCTTAGGCTGGGTTCTCTAGAGAAGCAAAACAAGCAAAGCATGTATATATACAGAGAGAGTTATCTCAAGGAGTCTGGCAAGTCTCAAGTCTGTGGGTCAGGCATCAAGCTGGAGTCTTCTCCCAATTCATTTAGCTGCCTGGGCTAATGAACCCAAGATGGGAGGTCAGACAGCAGACTGCTGGTTCACAGGCTGTGGAGGCTGACAAATCCAAGATCAGCAGGTAAGATGGCAGGCTGCTGGCTCATAGGCTGTGGAGGTTGACGAATCCCAGGATCAGCAGGTGAGACAGCAGGCTGCTGGCTAACAGGCTGCAAAGGCTGATAAATCTCAAGATCAGCAGGCAATATGGCAGCTAGCTGGCTTAAGTCCCAAGAATTGGAGGTCAGATGATGATGAGCTGGATGCAGGAGCCGGAGCAAGCAAGCGAGCTTTGCCAGAACGTCCATATATACATTGGATGCAGGCCACACCCCCAAGGAAACTCTCCTTAAAACTGATTGGCTGATTGCATCAGATCATATCATGGAGGATGACTATATCATTACCTAACTGCCAAACTACACCATTACATATCTGTCAAACTACATCATTACATAACTGCCAAACCACTGAGAATCATGGCCCAGCCAACTTGACACCCTACTTGAACCATCCCAAACATTAATGATAAAACCTGGAAGAAAGCCCCTAATATTGGCAGGTAGTACTCATGGGATGTACAACTGGAGCCCCAGCTGTTGGATGAATGGAATGGGTTGGTGTTTGCTGACAAAAACTATCATGAAAGAGGCAAATAAGGCTATCAGTGAGTAAAATCCCCTTTAAAAAATTCACTACATGTCTAATATCCTACATATTCTGTTACTCGTTTCAAATTATTTGTGGTTTTAATGATCTTTAATAAATGATGCTCAACAGGACATGAATTCTTAAAAGCACTTCCATTCAATTCAATGAGTATATAAGAGCTTCATAACAGAAAATTATAAACATAAGGGGAGAAGTGGAAATAGCACAGAGATATCAGACATGGACATCTGTTCTGGAGGGAGCTTACTAGGCCAGTGGGGGAAGACATATGGCGAAGAGGGTGATGGGAAAAATTGGAAACGGTTAATGGTAGTGGTTGGACAACATGATAAACGTAACTAATATCACTGAATTGTACATATGAAAAATGTTGAAATGTTGCAAACAGTTTGTTACACATATATGCACCATAATTTAAAAAAAAAGATGCATAGGGCACAAATAATTATAAATCTAGACAGAATGGGATAGATACTAGAAGAAAAAAGCAAAAAGTGATGGGTAAATGAAGAGGGAGTCCTTAGTTCAGCTAGGAGAAGGAGCCAGTGCCATTCTACAGAAGAAATGGTATCTGAGGGATGCCAGGAAGAATTCCAACAAGTAAAGCCTGGGGGGACATTCCCCATGGAGGGAAGAGTTAGCAAAGGCACTGAGGTGTGCAATTTACTCACTGACTTTACTCACTGATAGCCTTATTTGTCTCTTTCATGATAGTTTTGTTAGCAAACACCAACCCATTTCGTTCATCCGGCAGCTGGGGCTGCAGTTGTAAATCCCATGAGCACTACCTGCCAACATCAGGGGCTTTCTTCCAGGTTTTGTGATGAATATGTGGGATGTTTAAGGTTGTGTGTCACTGTGCTATCTGCTGTGAGAACAGTTTGGTGTAGTCAGGGTCTCAGAGTAGCAAGAGAAGGGGGAGGAGAAGAAGGGCAAAGCCCACACTAGGTGCAGCTGAAGGCCATGCTAAGGTGGCTCATGTAATGTCATGGATGCGTGTTATCTGATCATCAGAATCTCTTGTGAAGCATATTAAAAATAACAGATTCCTGGCCCCACCTCAGACCCATTAAATCACTGGAAAGGCCTGGTAATCTGTGTCTAACAAAAACATCAAAGTGCTAATAAGTAAGTGAATTCTCATAACTGGGCAAGAAAGTAGGAGAATTGTTATCATTAGAGCTATGTTTTAGAAAGAAGGGTATAAAGGACAAACGGACACAGTGCAGCAGGTTAGCATGCTACTGCAGTGATATTGAACAGCTCTTCTCACACTTTAATGTGTACAGGCATTACCTGGGGATCCTGTAAAATGCAGACTCTGCTAAGTAGGTCTGGGACAGGGCCTCTGATTCTGCATTCCTGAGAAGCTCATAGGTAATGCACATGCTGTGACCACTAACGGTGTAGTAAGAATGCAGATGACAGTCATGACATTGATAGTGGGAAGAGCAAGAGAGAAAAGACAGGATAGATTTGAAGTAAATACAAAAGGTAACTGTATCTTGCTACATATAACATCATGTATTGATATCTACCTGCAATTGTCTAGTGATCAACTGAATCAATAGATAAAGAAATAAAGTACAATGGGCATGCTATCACAAATCATACAAAGTGAAGTAGTCTAGGTGATTCCACCTTATAGAATAGTTAAGGTCTGAACACATGAACATAAGTAATATTGTAAATGTACCATGGGAACTCACTATTTAAAAGAAATCTATGATAAATCTATGATTGTTGTTGTTGTTAGGCAATATCGAGTAGGTTCAGACTCATAGCCACCCTATGTACAACAGAATGAAACACTGCCGAGTCTTGCGCCATCTTTACAATTCTTGCCATATTTGAGCCCATTGTTGCAGCCACTGTGTCAGTCCATCTCCTTGAGGGTCTTCCTCTTTTTTGCTGACCCTTTACTGTATCAAGCATGATGTCCTTCTCCAGGAACTGGTCCTTCTTGATAACATGTCCAAGTACATGAAATGAAGTCTCGCCATCCTCCCTTCTAAGGAGCATTCTGGCTGTATTTCTTCTAAGATAGATACGTTCGGTTTTCTGGCAGTCCATGGTATATTCAATATTCTTCACCAAAACCATAATTCAAAGGCATCAATTTTCCTTCAGTCTTCCTTATTTGTTGTCCAGCTTTTGCATACATATGAAGGAGGTGATTGAAAATATCATGGCTTGGATCAGGGGTACCTTAGTCCTCAAAGAGACAGCTTTGCTTTTTAACACTTTAAAGAGGTCTTTTGCAGCAAATTTGCCCAATGCATTACATTGTTTGATTTCTTGACTACTGCTTCCATGGGTGTTGATTGTGGATCCAAGTAAAATGAAGTCCTTGACAACTTCAATCTTTTCTCCATTTGTCATGATGTTGCTTACTGGTCGAGTTGTGAGGACTTTTTTTCTTTATGTTGAGGTGTAATCCATACTGAAGGCTGTAGTCTTTATCTTCCTCAGTAAGAGCTTCAAGTTCTCTTCACTTTCAGCAAGCAAGGTTGTGTCATTTGCTATCACAAGTTGTTAATAAGTCTTTCTCCAATCTTGATGCCGAGTTCTTCTTCATATAATCCAGCTTCTTGGATTATTTGCTCAGCATACTGATTGAATAAGTATGGTGAAAGGATACAACCCTGACCCACACCTTTCTTGATTTTAAACCATGCAGTATACCCTTGTCCTGTTCAAAGACTGCCTCTTGGTCTATGTACAGGTTCCTCAGGAGCCCATTCTTTGCAATGTTATCCATATTTAGTTATGATCCACACAGTCCAATGCCTTTGCATAGTCAATAAAACACAGGTAAACATCTTTCTGGTATTCTCTGCTTTCAGCCAAGATTTATCTGACATCAGCAATGCTATCCTTCATTCCACGTTCTTTTCTGAATCCAGCTTGAATTTCTGGAAGTCCCCTGTTGATGTATGCCTGCAACCGTTTTTGAATTATCTTCACACAAAATTTTACTTGTGCGTGCTATTAATGATATTGTTTGATAATTTCTGCATTCTGTTGGATCACCTTTCTTTGCAATGGGCACAAACGTGGATCTCTTCCAGTCAGATGGCCAGGTAGCTGTCTTTCAAATTTCTTGGCATAGACAAGTGAGCCCTTCCAGCATTGCTTCCATTTGTTGAAACATCTCAGTTGGTGTTCTGTCAATTCCTTGAGCCTTGCTTTTTGCCCATGACTTCAGTGCAGCTTGGACTTCTTCCTTCAATGCTATTGGTTCTTGATCATATGCTACGTCTTGAAATGGTTGAATGTCGACCAATTCTTTTTGGTATAGTGACTCTGTATACCTTCAATCTTCTTTTGATGCTTCCTGCATTACTCAATGTTTTGCCCACAGAATCCTTCAATATTGCAACTCAAGGCTTGATTTTTTTCTTCAGTTCTTTCAGCTTGAAAAATGCTAAGCATGTTCTTCCCTTTTGGTTTTCTAACTTCAAGTCTTTGCACATGTCATTATAATACTTTGTCTTCTCCAGCCACCCTCTGAAATCTTCTGTTCAGCTCTTTTACTTCATCATTTTTTCCATTTGCTTTAGCTACTCTATGTTCAAGAGCAAGTTTCAGAGTCTTTTCTGACATCCATTTTGGTCTTCTCTTCTTTCCTGTCTTTTTAATGATCTTTTCCTTTCTTCATGTATGATGTACTTGATGTCATCCCACAACTCGTCTGGTCTTCAGTCATTAGTGTTCAATGCATCAAATCTATTCTTGAGACGGTCTCTAAAATCCAGCTGGGATATACTCAAGGTCATAATTTGGCTCTTAGGGACTTGTTTCAATTTTCTTCAGCTTCAAGTTGAACTTGCATATGAGCAATTGATGGTATGTTCTTCAGTTGGACCCTGGCGTTGTTCTGACTGAAGATATTGAGCTTCTCCATGGTCTCTTTCCACAAATGTAGTTGATTTGACTCCTG